CCAGAATAAATGTCTAAATTTCCAGTATAGCCTGAAGTGTTTTCAGTAACTACATGAACAAATAGGCCATACTTTGTAACTTTCCCAGGATTATATGTTCGCATAGGAAGCCTTCCCCTCCAAGGAATCACAGATTCGTCCAAAGACAGTTGTTGGTTTGGCTTATAAACTGTCTGAAATTTCTGAATGAAAAAGTTTAATAAGGGCTGAATTTTGAAAAGCCTGCTTGTTGATTGTGGTTGCAGTTCATTATCATTGAAATGCAAACACCACCAAATTTGCTCAAATCTCTTACGGCTCATTAGTTTGCCGAAAATTGGAATTTCTAAAAATGGATCTGTTGACCAATACTCTTTCAGATTATCCCTCCTTGTATGGCCCATTAGAAAGATAATTGCAAAAAATTTTCTCATTTCTGCTGAAGTGACATCCACCCACTTCAACACCTTATAACTTCTGTCATAATGTTCACGGTGTTGGAGATAGTATCTGTTAGTTTCCTGACATAGCATGTCAAAGAAACTATCTCCAAAAAACAGTTCTGCTACTTCAGACACTTGCATTGGGTCCGATGGAATTTGCTTCACCCCTGGATTTCCAGTAAACTGTCCAAAGCAGGCATTTTGTCTACTTTTCCCCATGTGGCTGTACTCGCAATTTTACTACCGGCACTTTTGTTGGAGCTACTTTCACTGTCTGTGGCCACAAATTTTGTTCGCCCCTGCCACACTCACTATCAGATTGTGAGTCGCCATCACTAGCAGACTCACAAAGGATGTCAGATAGCTCATTGGAGAACAAGTCAGATATTTCTTGTTCTCTGAGAAAACGCTTGGACCTCAACCTCTTCCAACCTTGATCCATTTTGCACTAGTAACTTCCTGCCTGGTGCATGCAGCTGGAAGATGAACAAAGGCATTTTCTTTTGGAGTGGGAAAGGAAAACAGTTGGGTCATAAACAATGGGGTCATGTTACTGACTACAAAGCAAACATTCAAGAGGTCTATCACGCACCAGTCATGCATCTGCCTGGCGCCAGTGCAAGGTATAGTGTGTTTCAACATAACGTGTCCTAGAATCATAATAATATGCCACCAGTCCGCCACGTTTAAAAGCGCTGGGCATAAAAATATGCCAGCAGTCCACAAAGTGTTAAAGTGACCATGAATAGGCACCAAAGAAGCTGAGTTCTGTATATATTAATCAAAACTCTCTCTGAATATAAGTTTTGTAATGAAGGAGCATATGTAGGGAAGTGAATAGAGACTGCAAAATGTATTGTAAATTTGAAACTTTCCTTATCATTTTGGTGCTTGAAGTTCATCTAAATAATGTTTAGAAATCTGGTTCCTACCTTGCAGGAAATACTGCATCTGTATTAAAAAGAAGGGTGGACTTATGCTGTGTAGGAAAGTAATTGCTGTTTATTGTCACGATCATATGAAACAAAGTGCAGTTGTTTAATGTTAAAGCTGGAATTGCATATAATTATCACTGTGCCTTATAGGTTTGACTCTGTATTCATCATCATAGTGAGGAAAGCACTTTCCGCTGACCATGCATTCCGCTGTTTATTTTCATAACAGTAATGTTAAACTGGGACTAACTGAAATCAGACATTCAGATGTGGGCTGGGCTCAGTGTGCTCAGAATGGGGTCTAATGGCAGGATTTTGTGGATGTGGTAATGAACCTTTGGGTCCTTAGGTAGTTTCTTCACCACTTCAGTGAGTTACCAGCAATTTCATAGAAGACCCTACACACTGACAGTAGTTAAAGTTGTTATAATGTGGTCTCATAACCCGCAGTATCTTATGTGACCTATATGGAAATGAATTTTTGCATATATAAATACATAGTATTGTATCACCGCCAGACATGTTGTTTTCCTTGTTATAGGAAAGCGCATAAAGGAGAAGCATGACTGTATACAGGGGCTGCGGAAAGACATGCCGTGTATCCACCCCTCAACATCCCCCTCCAGTGAGCTTCCCTATATTCCACACACAGTCATCAAGCCACTTTTCTCTTTACTACTGACAGACACTTGGGTTGGTTGACACACAGCAAGGGGGGGGGGCTCAAGGGGAATACAGCAGTAATGGAGAGGGGAAAGCCTTGGGTACTGTCATCCCCACCATGCAGGGGCATTTCCTTCTGTGGCCTCAATATAACTCACATCTTCATCTGTGATGACTCATTTTCTCATGATTTCTCATGTAATGTTAGCAGTTACATTACCGTTTATCCAAACTATTTCAGAGTGGCAGAAGACAGAGGAACAAAAAGTTCGTGAAAATTTGTTGCTTGACGAACTGGTCACAATTGTCAATAAGAGGGACGAATTAGTTCATCACCTGGACTCACAGGAGAAAGCGTAAGTATTTGCTACTGTTCTGGTATGTGGGTACCATGGGCCTTAGCAGGTGCATTTTATTGGCATGGCAAGTACCATTTATGTGACGTTTGATATGGCATCAAGATGGTGATCCAGGATGTGACACCATGCAGTTTGGCAGATGGGTACCAGCATTTCAAAGGAGCCCACTGCTTCTGAAATGCTAGTACAGTCCTTAAGCCTTAAGTCTAGCCTTAAGAGCTCTGTAATTGATTCTGGGTAATTCTTTTTGTTGTTCTCAGACAGAATGACCATCATTGTTGCCCTTTGGTCCTTGAACAGTTTACAGCCCCAGAAGATATGTTCCTCCGTTTGCAGCCCATCACCACATTCGCATTCGGCCGTGGACACAGTGTCAAATCTGTTTAGGCTTACTTTAAGACTGATGTGACCCACCCTCATATGGTTTATTGACACGAAGGCGCAGCATCATTTTTATCTGTCGGAACCACGGAGACGAGCCATTCCTGTAGTACCTTTCAAAGTAGCTTTCTCCTCTGTCTTGCTTGTCCTCTAAAGATTGATATATATAGCATATGATGCCATCTATTGACAGAAATGTTTTACTAAATGATTAACGTTGAGCCACTCTTTTCAGCTGTGGCAGTTTTATTGCAAGTGCACTGAGCCGATCTAATCAGACTGTGTGGCATGCAAAGTGTTAACGTCAGTAATTTTGTATTCATTTCTTGCTTGTTATTTTCTGTTTTTATAGAATGACAGTCAAATGGTTGTACACAGAGAGCAACTTGGTTTTGTGAAAATGCTCTAGACTTGCATTTGGGAGGTGCATGGTTTGCATTCAGGCCAAGACACTGGCTATCCTGACTGAGGTTTCTCTTTGTGGTTTTTCTCAGTCCCTCCAGGATAGTACCTCAGTTAGACTGTGATTGCTTCCTTCTGAATATTCTCTGATTCACTGTAGACCAATTATCCTGCCATTTGATGTTATATGGGCTTGAGATACTGACAGCCAGAAAAATAAAAAAAAAATGATATGTAAGTCAGTGAAACTCTTGAAAAGCAGAATATTGCATTGTGAAGCAAAGTGTTCCCGTCTGAATTTGAAATTTTTTGATGATAACATGACACATTGATTAGGACTATTCTTCTGAAGTTGATCCAGTGTTGACTTCCAGGTCGTCTTCATGTCTTGGAAGTCGACTCAGTTATGTCATCATGTGAACACAGACATGATTTGAGGGTCACTGTACCAAAAGACCCAACAGAATTTTTTTTCACCTGATGACTGAAGTAGATTGCTCTCTGAAATTCTGTAGTTTCAAAAACCTGGGATGCTGGACAACGCCAAAGTACTTAATAAAAATACGACTGATTTTGAAGAATCTTATTCTACCACTATTGAAAATCCTTTTTTCCCCCCCCCAT